CTAGCAGAACACAAGTGGGACTAACCGTGCAACGATCTTGCTCGTTATCAGACGGATTCGTTTCCTTAGCAAACTTGTACTTAGTTGAGAAACGGCTGATCTGTTCGGCAGTCGCAGCAACTGGCGTGATCTCCATGGGCGGTGGCACGCTGCCGCCCCAAATCCCGACCGATGTAAGATCATGCGGCTGCAGCAACACCTTAACAAAATTCGTGATAAGCGAATTAGTGAAACTACATGCGTGAATCTATAACGGTAGCAGTTCTGCAGTGATGCGCAGTTATGCTATCTTACTTTGATCAGCCATCGATGAAGCTAGCAGTTTTTACACTGTTGTTCCAGTGGACCGTAGTCGAGCTACTGCCGTTCCCGGTGTTCAGTTGCCTTTCGTTCTGTTGGACAAAACGTAAAATTTAGCGTCCTTTTGTCGAATAATAACCCTACAGAGAGCGTTCTATGCTTCTCCAGCTTAGAACAACGAATGTAATAAGAGGTGATTTTGCGAAAAATAAACAGAGCCATAATATGAGTGCAGAGACACCTGAAACCGCAGCAGGAGAAGGCTTGTTTGTGAGATTGGACTGTTTGCTGCGACGGGCGGTAATGCGCCGATCTTTAACTTTATAGACTTTCTGATAAGTTTACTTTTTGCGCGAAAGCCCTGTATATAAAAGTTGCATGTGACAGTGATTTCTCTTTCTCTGCATTGTTTCTGTGTTCCGGCAATATACTTCTTCATTACAATGGTTCCCCGCAGATCGTCTGGACAGCGGTTCGATGGAGGTAGTGGGCCACCCAGAGAAGAAATCTGCTTTTGTCATGAGGCCTCCAGCATCAAGTCGAACCCACTTAAAGGGCTATACCATTTTTTTCACAAACTAAATTCTTAAAAAGGCTTCCTATTCCCTCACATAAAGTGAATTGCATTCGTCCTTCGAGAGCTGGAAACCACACACCAAATGGACGATCGTACAAAGGTTACAAACGAAGTTTTTCGGTCTCCGAAACAAGATACAAAAATCACTCAAAAGTTGAGACCAAACCGAATTATCGATACAGATTCAAAGTTCCAGAGAAACAATAGCTGCCGGAGGGAAAAACCCAGTCAACGAAGCACTAGGCTTACCGGTGCGATCATGCGTTTTCGCGCTAAACATGAAACAGTCAGATCGATAGCAACATAAATGGCTTCTGTTTTACAGTTTGACATGTGAACTCATACTGGCTATGTTTTGACCTCACTGCATGCAGTGGGAAAAAGGTGCCGGCTGGGACGGCAGTCTTGCGTCACGAGGCCACAAGAAATCTCAACCTCCAACACACTTGATTACCGCAAATTTATTCCGCTATCAGTCGTTTATCGAGAAGTGTAAATCTGACAATGAACAGCATGATGGGAGAGGATTACGAAATCTGCAGAACGTGTTCATTTTTAAGGTTGCGATAGAATTGAGTATTTGTCATGTCCGCATGCAGGGAATTTAGCCTCCAAGCTGAATTTACACTCCAGCTGTACATATAGTACCCTTGCAAAGTTTTAACTTGGCTAGTATACGAAATCGCCATTTCGCTACTAATATTTCCAAAGTATTCTAAGGTACGACGCAAATGCAATTCGAAACTCCATTTAAGTAAACAATTTCTCAGATGGACAATAAATATTCCGGCAAAATTACAGCTGCTATTCCTCCACTAGTTTTCGAGTAAACGTAAGGCAGGATGTAAACTTCGACGCGACCACATACGGTATTAACTGCGCGCGAAAGCTGAACTTGAACCTTTAGCTCATACATGGACAGAGACTATCCCTGCAAAGTTCCAGCCCCCTGTTTTGTGATTTTTCCAGTCGTTTCCTGCCAGAACATATTTTTTAGGCATTCGTACGTAGCATCAAGGTGTGCACGAGCGCTGATTTTAAGAAAGGAATGGTAGTATATGGGGTGGACGTATCTCTACAATTTCAACCGTCCCGCTTCATCGTTGTTGTACTGAAATTGGGTGTCAAAGCTCACTCGCCCTTCAACACTTACAGACACATACATATAAACACAAATGCACACAGAAAACCTCTCCGCAATATGCCTTTTTGCATTTGCACAAAATGGAATAATTGGACAACGCACGGATTGCTCGTGCGAAGAC